AAAAAATCTTGGGTTAAAAAAAAAAAAAAAACAACAAAAAACAAAACCTTTCCTGATTGCAAGGTATGGTTCTAAAGAAAACATGCTGGGATCCCTGACAGCTGTGCCTCAAAGCTGGAGACCACGGGAGCCTCCTACAGCTGCTCAGCAAAATAGACATGATCATCAATCTACTGTTGTCATTAACAAGGAAGCTGACATGCCCATAAAATTCATGGAGCAGCTGCAGGGTTCAGGAAGCTTCCAGTGTGCCAGGAAGTTTAAAAAAAAAAAAGTCCTGAGAACTTAAAACTTGCTTTTTGGTGATATTTACATGCCTTGCAAGTTATATCTCAATTAAAGTAAAACTGAACTTCAACAATTTATATTAAAAGAAGGAAAAATTATGTAGGCTACTCTATTCTCTGGCACGTACCTGGACTATCAGGGATTGGTACAACAGGCGATTTGGGCTGTTGTCCTTGCTGCTTACTCAGTGCATTTAGCACAGGCTCATTTTTAAGCTTTGTAATGTTGGTTCCAGAAGATGATTTCATGAATAGCCCTTCTGTCAGGTTTAGCAGACCCCTGGGTTCATCTGTGCTTGTAACTTTCTTCATGCCATGCTTTGGGGTTCCCAGAGGTGAAGAAAATTGAGCAGAATCCTGCTAAAGAAAAGAAAACAATGGTTAACTGCAGAGATTTAAAATACAATTATAAGCTTACTTATTAAGGAAGCAATACAGTAAAAGGTGCAAGGGTTGAAGTGGTGATGCAACTGCTACCCATAAACAGAACTCACCGATTTAAACAAGAGTTTTTATATAAAAAATCTGCAAAAATGCAATGTCACATAAAAGCATATGAGCTCTTCTTCTGTTTTTGAAAACAGCTTATTAGCCCGTTTTGTTTAAGGCAAGGCACACATCATAAATGCAGAAACATTACTGATGAAAGGTCTACACTGAGGAGCCTATTCTGAAAATAGTCATATTTCATTATGGAGATCAGTATTAGGGGCTGCATTTTAGAGGTCTTGATTGAACTATAGCTGAAATTAGGCAATGTCTACTTGCACACATCTTATGGTCAATTTATGTCCTAGATATTTTGCAGGACATTACTGCAGCATGATGATTACTGCAGCTTTATGTATATTTTAAAATGGCCAAATAACTCCTTTTCAATCTTCTTCTGTTGCAGACAGCTAAGAACAGCAATTGCTACAAGATCATAATTTAGATACACAGAAATGATTACCAGGATGCCTTGCATACATTTTAGGCACCTCTGACATAAGATAAACCACCCACTGAAAGTCCAGCAAAACAAATAATACAGAAATGGAAATCTCCTTGTCCCTGGAAGTTTGCTGGCTTTAAAGTTTGCTGGGGGTATATAGCATGTTTGGGGACCAGGGGGAGAAGGATAACAAAGCTATGTTTGTGTGTGCACTCGTGTGCTTAGAATCAACCCGTTTCTTCCACATGTTCATCGAAGATAGAAAAAAAACCAAGCAAATATATTTCACCCACACAATGTTTGTTCTATTAAACTATTTTTTCTATTGAAAAGGTTTTTTGTTTAGGTCAGACAAGTAAGTCCTTTTGTAGCTGTCAGACTTGTCTAACATACACAAAAAGGTTTTTGTGTAGTTTCATTCATTAGTTTTGGGGGGTTTATTTTTGGCAATGTGAAAACAAACTAAAAGTTACATCAAGATTAAAGGATTTTCCCCCTTTGAGTACTTGAACATAAATGGTGGTTATAAGCCTTTGGTATGCCCCAAATATAATTCAAAGTCATTTGTAATTGTGTTTCTGCTCCCCCAGTTTACCTCTACTACATTTACCTGAACTAATTAAGTCTCATCTTATCCCCATTTCCTTCTTAACTCTTGAACCCTTCTCTCTTCCTGCAGTATCACTCGAGGAATTTGCTCTCTTTAATTTTGGTACTCTATTCCTGATGTTACAGAATGGCACCCTCTTTCACCACCCATTAGGCAAAGTCTGTATCTTTATGTGTGTGCCTTAAACCATCATATTAGCTTTAAATTAGGAATTCTAAATTGCTCCAATTTTAAGGTACTTTTAGAGCGACTTTTCCTATTAACATTTTATAACATTCCTAATAAATATTGGTATGGAAAATGCATTCACCAAAGACTCACAACACACTAACTCAATTGTAAGGTGAATGTATTCATTATAAAAATTAAGGTTGAAAGAGTTAAAGTAAATGCATGCAGAAAAAGCCAAAGCCCCACCCATACACCTCCATATTTATGTAGGAAATGCGAGTGGTGTTCTCTAGGTGCATGTGAAGAACACACAAGACACAGCAAAATAAACTCAAATCCAATCCTTATGGAATTCTACAAGACCATGCATTTTAAAAAAATGCACCATATTCTTAAAAATATGTAAATACATTGTTTGATACAATATGATGTATAAATGAATAATGAATTCCACAAGGTTTTTTGGGGTTTTTTTTTTTTAAATGAACACCTCTATAAAGATGCATGAAATACCTTATATAAAATAGGATCCTTGTATGCTTTGCCTTGCAAAATCAGATCCTCGTAAAACAAAAATATAGAAGGTGGGAAGAAAACAACATGAATTTAAATTCAATAACCAAAATATTATGATGATCTACTACTATCCAGTGTCTTCTCATGTGATTTCTCAGGTAGAGAGAGAGAGAAATTGATATTTACGTTTTTTCTCGTTAATACCCAGGCAATAATTGGCAAATCCCATTTCACCCTGTAAATGCAGCAAACATTACTGAGCATAAAAAGGATTTGCTATTCAAAATCTATTACTGCCTTGGAGTTGACACACCCTATTGTCATTTCAGCCATAATGCAATGCAAGTAATGGGGACAACGGATTAGTAGCGTTAATAAGGTGCCTACTGCAGCTTGCTACAAATCACTGACCCTGCCCGAGTGAAATAACAGCTTCTAACATCAGTTGAAAATCAGTCACAAGCAATTCAGTACTGTGGTATATAACCGGTCAGATTTTTTCTTGTTCTTCTGCCAAATATTACCTCTCCACTAAAAGTAACTCAATTCCACTGAACCTACTCTGGAGTCACAAATGAACTGGGTGCTTTCTAGTAGCTTTTTCATACAGATTCTCACCGTCTCTCTCAATAGCAGCACTGATTCACCTCAATCCTATTACAGGGAACCCCCGCTTAGCACTCTTAAGTGGCTCCAGAAAAACCGAGTGTTAAACAAAAGAGCGTTAGGCATCTTCTTCCTCTTCATGGCTTCTCTGCTGCTCTGTTTCAATGAGGTCCTCATTGCTCAATTCCTCCCTGTTGGAATCAATCAACTCCTGAATATCCTCAGGTTCAAATTCATCAAATCCAAATTTCCTTCTAAGCTCAATGATATTGTCCTGAATTATCACCATTGGTTCCTCAACCTCTTGGGAATCCAGGACACAGTCTGCCCAAAGCTTTTGCCAGACACCATTCATTTGTTTTGGAGGCAACATCATCCCAGGCACTTGAAAAGTTATCTATTGCCTTGCGGATACTACAGCCCTTCCAAAATTCTTCTAGGGTCAGAGCATCCTCTCCTTCTGTAGCCCTGACTGTCTGGGCAAATGTTTTCCTTATGTAATAAGCCTTAAAGGCAGCAATGACAACCTGGTCCATCAGCCATATGATGGAGGTGGTATTGGGGAGCAGGAAACCAACTTTTACATTTTCACTGAGATCATCAAGTGTGGCAGGATGCCCCGGTGCACTGTCTAAAATGAGATGTGCCTTGTGGGGCAGACTGTTCTTGGCACAATATTTCTCAACTGCAGTACAGAAATAGTCCCTGAACCACGTCTGAAAGATTGACGTCGTCACCCAGGCCTTCTTGTTTGACTTCCAACGGACTGGCAGACTGCTTTTAAGATACCCCTTGAGAGCCATAGGGTTTTCTGAGTGGTGTACAAGCAATAGTTTAAATTTAAAATCCCCTGCAGCACTACCACCGAACAATAAAGTAAGTCGATCCTTGGACACTATGAAGCCTGGCATCGACAACTCCTCCCTGGAAATGTAGGTCCTAGAAGGCATCCTCTTCCAGAAGAGGCCTGTCTCATCAGTGTTGAAGACTTGTTGAAGCGTATAACCCCACTCCTCAATTTCCACAAGCTTATTTCTATAACTGGAAGCTGCACTAGCAGCCTCCCCCTGAATAGAAACCTTATGCAAGTTGCTGCGCCTCTTAAATCTTTTGAACCACTCCTTATTTTAAAAAAAAGGCTTGGAAGCCCTCAGGCAAATTTTTCTGTAACTCATCATACAGACTCTTAGCCTTCTTCTGAATAAGCAGCGTACTGAAGGGCAGATAGCATTGAGTTGTATCCTCAATCCACATACTTAACAGCCTCTCCATTTCTAACATAATTAGATCCCTGCTCCTACTCAGTTTCAAAGCATTCAAAGCAGTTACAATTCTACCACATTCTTTAATTTTGTCTTTATTTTTCAGTATGGCCCTAACAGCTGACCCAGCCAAATTCAATGCTCTACAGACATCATTCTGGCATCCCCCTGCTCCAATTCACTTGAGGACATCCAATTTAAGCTCCAGCATTATGCTTTTGCACAGTTTCTCAGCATTTTCACGCTCAGAGTCAGTTGCACGTTTCTGACTCATGATGCAACTCAAAAAATGAGGCAAGACAGAGACACAATCACACAAAAAAAAAAATCACAAAAGAGCACAGAGCACGAAAGTTTTTGATGAAGCGAGAGGGCAACGAAGCTGTGAGCCACCAATGCTCTCTCCCCAATACCGGTGAGTGCTAAGTGAAATCGAGTATCAAAGTGAAACAGGCGCTATCATGAAACAGCACTAAGCAAAACAGTTTTAAGCAAGAGGTTGCCTGCATCTTTGTTATGGGAGAAGAGGAAAAAGGAAAAAAAGAAGTCAAATAATGTTTGCTCCCTAGCTTCTGTCTTATTAAGCATGTTTTAGCTTCTTTGGAGACCTTGCCTCTACTGTCACATGGGAATTTTGTCCAACTGTAGGACCAGATTCCATGTTGTTAGTTATTGACTACAGTACTGGAACACAACTGGTAGCCAGGCAAAAGGATTGAAGGACTTTCTGTATATCCATAATACACCAATAGAATTAATTTATTGGCTGCAGAATAACTAAGATGATACTAAAAATAATGTAAAAAGGACAGGGAAAATACTGTTGCTGAAGACATCTAAAACAAGGAGGAGAAACAGGAGGAAGAGGAGATCTCAAGTTCTTTACTTGGAGCTTCACAAGAAAAGCACACTAAATTCAAGCACTGCTTTGTCTACTTCATGCTCAAGGGCATATTATAATGGATCATCTAAAGTCCATTATAATAAAGTCTATAATGGACTAACTAAAGGAAATGTTTTTGAAACTTCAACACTCTTTAAACATTTAGGCAGAACATTTTGATATACGCATAGCAAAAGAGAGTCTTTAAATTAAAAAAAGATAACACACAAAGCAGCTTTTGTTACCTTGTCTTTTAATGAGAAGGTTCCTGGGCTACCTGCAAAAAGAAACTTGTTCTTCACTTTCAACTTCCCCAGATTAGCCACAATAAGATGGTTTGACTTGGAGCTTTCAGGGATAAGGAGGACAGGTGCCCCAGCTTCGATGTCAAGAACAACTCGGGAGGCTCTCTGTGCCTTATCTCTCACCTAGAGAAATAAATATCTGGTTTAAAATGTTTGTAACATAATTTTTTGTTTTTTTGGTAAGCTCCTGTCAGGTAAACTTGCTTTTAATGAAGCCATTGTTTAAACACATCTAATGCTTAATTTGAGAGAACTTACTCCTGGCAATGGACACTTACACTCTTACAAATCCATTCAAAGACAGATAAATTAAAAACTGGCTTATCTGTTAGCCAATGTTATTGATAAACCACTTTACATATTGTAAAATAAAAACCTACATGGAGAGAACCAGATCTGAAAAATGTTACATTTTATAACCATGCAAAAAAGGTGAACTTTTGCTTCTGCTCCAGACACAGATGATTAGTTGGGAAATAAAGGATTGCGGCAGCAAGTTACAGACCCTGAGGAAACAAACAGCAAATCATGTGGAAGTCAACATAAAATAAATGTAGTCCTCCAAGCAAACTAAAAGAAGTATAACTAACAGTTGTATGGTGCACCAAAATAAAATTGAACTGTAAGAAGATCTAGCTTTCAGCTTAAGCTTTTACGAATTCTTTACAGACATTGAAAGGATGTAAACAATCACATCTGTAAATCATTACAGCTGACAACACTTTTCATCAGTCCCTTATTAGTGAAAGCAGATTAGTCTGACATTTAAAACAAAACAGCTATTTGATCAGCAAACATAAAAGAGAGGACTTCAGTTCTCAGTTCTCTGCTGCAAATCAGCCTAGTAAACCACCTAGGATTAAGAATTCCAGAAAGAATCAGGCATTCTGTGCAGCGTACGGAAGTACTAATCTACATTCAAAACCAGGTAATTTGAGCTCATTCACTGTCAGAGCAAACTCTGAGAACTAGATAAAAGCATGATTAACAGAATGATATAATCAACTCCCTTTCTTCCAGAGGCCAGAGAAAAAGCAAATTAGCCATGTGTTACATATTTCCCTGTCATGCCACAACCATAACCTCCACACACAAAAAATGCATAAGATTGCCAAATAAGAAGGTACACAAAAGTTATTACTCAAAAATCTGAATCTCTTTAATACTGGACAGGAAAGGTTCTTTGGGTAGATGTGATACCTTTTATTAAACCAACTACTATAAACAGGTGGAAAAAAGTTTTTAGCAAGCTTTCGGGTGCAATTACCCTTCCTCAGGTCTAGGAAGTCTCTAATTCAAAGGAAGATACGTTATGGAAACAACTGACTTCTGTCAACAAAACCCCAAGATTTTAAGAATATTCCAATTTATTTAAATGCAGTTTAAAAAAGGCTTCTTTAATTCGTTTCTGCTCGGTGTATCTATCCTTCTCTATCCTTTCCCCACTACCTTCACAGTTAAGTTTCTGAAATCATTTACATTTCCAGCTATAAAAGGGCACCTGTAACAGAGTTATGGAAAAGGCAGATCACTTAGAATATCATGGATTAGAAGGCAAGTAATACATGAGGGATTGTACGGTCCCCCTCTGCCTCTCCTAGCAGTCTAATCTCCCTTCCCTGAGTAAGTGCAAGTCTAGTCAGTGCCAAATGAAGTTATGCACATGTAAGGAGAAAATATAATTCCCTTCAACCAAAGACATTTCCTAACAGGTAGCTTATAAAGCTTTGTGCTTTTAAACACAGAAGTGACCATTTATAAAACAAAAATCATTAAATAATACATAAAAGAATCAAATATATTAAGGCAGACAAGGTTCTTTGGGTGAATCTGATATCTTTTACAACCAACACCCCTCAAATATATTAAATCATTTATATTAAAAAACCCCAATATTTCCAATACTGTCAATCTGATGGCCACCTAATTATAACAGTACTACATCTTACAGGGCTCATACTCAGGGTCTCTCTCTCAATATCACCAATCCTTTTCTGGTTCACCAGGGAGATATACTGGTGAACTATGAAAGAAGCTCCCATGCGTTTGATTCTCCCTACACAAACCTTGTACTTGTACAAATTTTAGGGACAGGACCATAGTTCTGAGAGATTAAAACTGAATGGAAGATTAAAACTAGAAAGATATGAATCTTCAAATATCAGCAAGATAAAAAAAAAATCCAAAACATTCCCTTTTACCTTTGAACCCTGCCAACTTTGCCACAACCAATAGGGTCACTAATATTTAAAAGCACAGGAAAAGATGTATGAAAAATACAAAATTAGGCTATTTCTTCATCCCTCCCCCGCCACCTACTCTCAATGTTTCACATGGCCTGCTCTCCTCTGCCATGTGGCAACTTAACAGTTTTGAAGAATAGTCCAACAGTTATGATACATTTTTCTGGTACATTTTATCCTACTACAAATCAGGAGCTAGAGGACTCCAAACAGATCCCGATTCAGTAAACTATCAAGATCTGAGTAGGAATAATTTAAGAGGCATACAATGGATACAAATGGGATCTATTACACCAACATGTCCATTCCCTACAAAATTTACTTATAATTATTTATAATTTCCTAGAAAAGGAGGAGAGAGAAACTGATCCAATACTAAACTTTTTTCTTACTGTTTAGATAGGAAAAGTAAGGTGACAACACAGCTAGAACCTCCACCGGTTCCCTTATATATTGCAATAAGGATGCAATTGTTGATAACAAACCAGGGCACAGTAAGATGCCACTGCAAAATTGCAAAAAGATTATATGCCACCATATCACAGGACTGGTATTGAGCAATTCCAACAGCCATTTACATATGCCATTGAGCGACTGGTGCCTCCCTGAGTCGGGACACAACCGAGGGGCCCCCCAGCAGCCCGTCACTGAAGCATGTTTGCCACCATGCCGCCAGCAGAGCCAATTTTAGGGGGGGCACAAGCACTTTCCATGCCCCCTACCAGCCAGAGCGCTCGCTGTCAGGGGGGCACCAGTGCTCTCAAGGGAGGCACATGCCCCCCCTGTGTCTCCCCTATGCATCACCTATGCACATGCCTGTTTAAAAGTAATATCCAGAAAACCCCATAAATTGTTTAAGAAAAAATGGGTCTTGTAAGATCTAGTAAGCTAGCAATATAATTCAGCTGCTGCAACACTGGACGCCCCAGATCTCACTAAGACATAATACTGCTAAAGTTACTGTGATCTGAAACAGTAAGAAAAAATTCATGACATATTTCAACAGCCGAGATTCTCTCACTACTGTATTAGGAAACAACAACGGGGGGGAAAATAAAAAAAACAAAACCAAACCATACCGTCTGTCCTTCAATTGCTGCTCTCTGGCGACCTAGGACATCCTGAAGTTGAGTGAAATGTTGGATGAAAGAGACCACCTCTGCCTGAAAGCGCTGAGTGTGCACATACTGAACCGATGCCATCCGTAGGCTGATTCGAATATCACAGTCTCTTTGTAGCAAGGGGTCAGGTCGACCATATCTGTGAGAAAACACATTTGGAAAATTACAAACATTTATTAAAAGTCCTACACTTATTAAAATTAATGCCCAGCTGGAGCAACGTTTGCAAAATTCTTTTTCGAAAAACAGTGAAAGATTTAACAGCACCTTATATTTGAATAATTAAAACCTAAATTTTGAGGACAATTTGAAAGGGTACATTCTAATCAAATCCAAAATTACTCCAACATTTTTAAATACCATTGATTTTAGATTGCCACTCCATCTTAATCCACAGGTCAGGGGTGGCCAGCCTGGTGCCACAAGCGACACAGGCAGCCTCTGCCTGGTACGCAGCATATAGGGCAGGGAACAAAGCAGAGCAGCTGACTGGGCAGTAGAAGGGGATCAAAGCCACACTCAAGGACCATGCCAAGCTAATTTGTAGCATGCCTGCCAAAACAGTTGGACTCTGCTGTCGTAGGTCACGCCTATGGAACTACAGATCTCAGAATAGTGGCAGATTTCGTATATCAAGCACTGTACAATTCTCAGGTGTTAGATCATAAGAAAACAACATTCAACCCCAAATTTGACTGCAGTTCCGCTGCTTTGAAAGAATCCTCCAATGTTACCTGAAGGTTTTTTAATTTGTTGTTTTTTCCCTAGTCTCTCATTAACAAGCCAAACACAGAAGATGGTATTCACACTGAACAAAACACCAATATTTATGTGGGACCAGTGGAAACACTATGTTGCACAGCACTTCCAGTTTAAAAACAAATGTTGCTACTTAGAAAGGGTCAAACTTTTTCCCCCAACCAAACTTAACCACATGCAACTTTACAACAAAACAAAACAAAACAAAACCAAAACACAGGCACTCTCTGCCAATAGCCTGTATGGTGACATGAACCCAAGTCAATTAACATGACCAATGTTCAACCCTTAAAGATAGTTTATAAAAGACAGAGTAGTTAGCTGTTAAATCACAACCCTCCCCAGTTGAACACTTTGTAACCTGAATTTTAAATCTGTTGGTGTTCCATTTTAATAATCCACTACACACTGGAGAAAGAAAATGTTCTGTTACATACTTGTAAATTTGAAAAATAAGTGCCTCTTCACCACTTGTAGTGAAACGTTCCCTATAAAATTCTCCATGAGACGTAAGATCGCTTAAGGAGAGGCTTCCAATGCTTCCATGAACAGACAAATCTCCATCTGCAAAGTAAAAGATTGTACTGATATCCTAAAAGGTAGATGAGAACTAATGGTAGATGGCAAGTGCTTTGCAGGCCCATCTTCCCTACACTACTGACAGGGCCAGATGAGTATGCACAGAAACTCGTGTTCCAAAAATGAAAGCGCATCACTCCTGTGTGTAACAAAGTTGTATTAACCTGGGCAATACCTTATGTAGCCAAATACAAGGTTTGTATATGTAATTTAATCATCATTCCTTCATAATTTTGATAATCTTGGACAGAGTTCTTTCAGCATTACAGCAAGAATATATTTAATAGATCACTTAATTGCCATATCTCCAGACCTAAAGGAGATCTTAAATTAAAGGCAGTTTCCACTTTGGAGAGCACTCTTATTTCCCTGCTTGACACAAGAAAAGCCTTTCGCAGGGGTGGGGGTGGAAACACTGAGAAGAAGTGATACAATATTTAAATCGATAGCAGTTAAGCTATTGGTTTAAATAAATTAAGGGGAAAAAAGTTCTGCAGTCTCAAACAAGCTCCCAACGAAGGGACTTCAAACTCCCAATCCCAATTCCCGTTATAAAAATGCATGCATTTTTTCTGTTAACCATTCATCATACTCACCAATCAGTTCCAAGTAAGTGACAAGTTTTGACACATTAGATTTCGCCAGCTCACTGGTTGTCTTGTTCAGCACTAAAGATAGGGAATGAACCTAGTCAAGCAAATAAAGACAAAAAAGAAAATAAAAACAAAGTTTGATACTATGCAGCATGATTGCAGAACTGGAACCCTGAGCCATATCTTCTGAACTGGCTTAGGGCACAGGAAGCAAAAAGATGACAAAGATAAAGCCCCTTCCTGTAGCTGTTACTGAAAACAAAGCCTAAATTCTAATGAAAGTTATGCCTTCAACCCCACTATGATCCCCACCCCAACCTCCGCACCAACTGCCGTCCTCACCCGCCTCTGATTTCAGACCTTTTTTGAAGCCTTCAGCACCTCCCCTTTCTCCAGTAAAACAAGTTTTTATCCTCCTTCTCAGTAAGTCCTTCATAACTCAGTTCCTCTTTACACATCTGCTAGTCTTCAACTGCATTGTCTGTTCTGCCAGTAACAACAACCCATCTGTCTCTCTCACCCCTGTCTTTGCACTCTTATTGTTTGTGCTGCCAGAAAGACTGCAAGATCTGAGGCAAGGATTATGTTCATTTACGCTTTTGTTCAGAGTTTAGCATAACAAAATTCCAGTTTTAATGCTGCCTGGGCACCAACACAAAATGCATCTAGATGAGGGCAACAACTCCCAGACTAGTCTTCAGAAACCCAGTAGAGGTCTCCCAACCCCCACGGTCTGCAAGACTTAAGAACCTGTTGAGCATCCTCAATAATTTGCAGACTTCAGGGTACTGAATCAGCCCCATATTAGTCCTAGAAGCCCAAGAACTGTAAATGAAACAATGACCCATCAGCTTTAGAAGGCCTTTTCAAGGGTCTCCAAAACATGTGCCCCACATGAAATCTGATGAAACAACAGGGACCTCGCAATCCTTACCCCCATTCAAACATCATCATGCTTCTCTGACTCTAATCCAAGGGGGTGCTTCTATTTAGGGGTTATCAGAATATGTCAAGCACAAGGCGTCAAGGACGGCTGCAGCATTGATGAGCAAACTAACTTTAGCAATGTGTGTAAAGCCTCCTCAAAATGTATCCTACTGGTTGGAAAGGGTAGCAATGTAGTGGGGGCTCTAGCTGTTCACCTAACACTCACAACGTGGAATAGATAAACATGAGTCCTCCAAAACAGAATCAGTTTTTCCCTTACCCAAAATTCATTAAAAAACAAAACCAAACCCTAGAATTTATTATTTGTTCACTTTTTTGTAGAGAACATGCATCTGCCTTCCAAAATCTATGATTGGGATTTACCTGTATTTTTTCTTTTTGCATATTTTACAGGATACATTTGCATGCTCGCTACTAAAAATACTTGGAATTTGTATAAGTCAAAACTTTTATGAAGAAAAAAATAAAATCAACCTTTGGTAGTTTTGATATACCTTAAGATCCAACTTGGTGTTAACAGGATCCTGGACTTCAGTAGTTGACAAAATATTTGTCTCTGACTTAACAGTCTGCTGAACATCCTCTGGCTGCACCTTCATAGCATGGTTGTCGGCAGTGGATCCAATCCCAAAGAAATCAAGTATTACCACCCAGGTTTGCAGAGTTATTAAAACATCTAAACAGTTGAAGTCAACATCCACGCTTCGGTTAATTTTGTTATAGCGGGACGAAAACTCAGGATGTTTCTTATCTACTAGGAATATGTTAATATGAACTAATGAATCATCAAAGTTACTTTTTCCACATGGCATCTTGGACTTGCTGGATGTTGGAGAGGGAGGTGGAGTCAAAGGATATTCAGAATCAGTGTCTTCTTTTTGCTTCTTACGTGGGGCACACATTGGTCTTTGGTATGACTGAAAGACATTGGGTGCTTCTTCCATGTGGGAAGGAAGTGAACGTGGCATGTCAGGATATTCCACGTTGGATACAGAAGGGCATGACTGGGAAAGATATTCCTTGTGCGCCAAGCTAGACGGTTTAGGTGCTCCCCGGGAAACCATGAGGTTCTTGTACATGGAGTCTGGGTTTTTTTCCAACAGATCTTCCATCAGCAAAGAACGCAAGGCAATCTGAATGGATAAAGTCTGAGGATGATCCTTCGTGAATTCTACGTCAAAATCCTGAAATTTTAAGCTGACCAGACCTTGTGCTCCAAGTGTAAGATCTCCACTTAACTGAACCTGGAGTTCTGAGATACGGAAATTTGCTTGAATCTGAGTAAAAGATTTTGTTTCCCTGACTGGCATCGATTTGTTTGGAACGGGGGAAAACCCAGAATGGCCGAACAGTCCATTTTCTTTCCGGTCACTTGAGAATTCTGGGCCTATGCTGTGAAGCGATGAGGAAGGAGAAGTGGGGCAGGCTGAAGATGCAGAAATGGATGGAAATATGTTCAAATCTTCATTGTAAATTAAATGGTCAAGAGTTTGCAAAACTTGCTCGTAGACATGCTTTGCTAACACCACCTGCATTTAAAAACAAACAGTCATACCTGTAGCTGTATCTACTAATGTTTTCCAAGCTCACTAAGTATATAAACACCCAATTGTATATTTTCTTAAACTTCAAAGGCCACCGTATTTAGTACTCTAAACCCCAGAAATCAAGCTTTTATACATATAAACATGAATCCAAAATAAAATAGGATGTGAATATTAAAGCAGATTAATTAGTCAATGTTAATTCTAGTTCAGAATAAGCCAAGAATAGCCCCAATAGGCGAGATCCCTCCAACAAAGGGGTCAGCACGTAAATTGAACCACTCCACCCAGTTCAGATTTCAACACCTCCGGCAGCACAAAGCTTGTGCTGTTGAACTCCCAGATATAAATCAGGGGTCAGTATCCCACAAAGGAGATAAAATTGACCTCAACTGAAAAATTTAAGTTTAATTACAGAAAAAAAAACAACCTTTGAAATGTTACTGTTCTGCAGGAAGTGGTTTTGTTTCTTATTTTAACTAATTGGCAGCACTGATCTCGGGAATATATTCAACCTGGGCACTGAGAGTGGAACACTATCTGTAATACTTAGGCCTAGACAAAGCATTTCCTCAGAAGAAAGGCGTGCCAACTTCCCACTTGCTACTCTAATTCTATTCCTGGCCTTTGCTGAGATGGCAAACAAGCATACCAATTAGGACAACAGTAGCAATATGGATGCAGCAACTCATTTCACGCAAGTCGCCAAAATGCTTTAAGATAAGATGAGTTTTAAGAACCATTCTCTAGGGAATGAGCGATCTGTAGATAAAATGTCTGGATGCCATTTTGCGGTCTCCTAAACCGGGGCTGTCCAACTTCCTAGTGGCCAGGCACCACGAGTGCCCAATTGCACGACATGCAGGACGCAAGCTTCCAGCACCGAACTGTGCGGTAGCAGTGCCCTCTCCATGCCAACTGCACTGTGTTAGCACCCCGCTACCAAGCAGGTCCCCTCCGCTGCACCACAGGCAAACCTCTACCATGTTGCACCAGTGTCTTAGTGCCACATGGGATTCCCAGGTCCCCCCAAGTTTCCTCATCTGCAGGCTCTCTGACCACTCTGCCCTTTGGGGTAGGGGTGGGCAGCAGGAACTAGAAGGAAGGGGGAAAACCACAGATTCCAGCTGTAGCTTGGGGGGCTCCTGAGACTCATGAGCCACCATCTGAATAGCCCTGCCAATCCACCCAATCTTTGGTGATGACTGCCTGCACCTTGAGAGACAGAACATTTTAAATTGAAAAACAAAACAAAACGCCTTGATTTACAGGAAAAATAATCTATATTGATACTGAACATTTATAAATATGAGCATACTTTACCTGAAGAGGGTTGACAAATTTCCCCTCAATCCTCATAATACTCGATATTTCAAAGTCTTCATTACTTAAAGGGAATGTTAAGTCTAAATCTCTCTCTAGTGGGATCTTTTCCAATTTAAACTGGATCGTGGTGTTGTTCAGAATGTGAAAAGCTGTTTAAAAAGAAGAGATTCGCATGCGTTTTTATCCCCGGCATTCAGGGGATGAAAAACTAAATGCATCATAATGAAACAAAGGTCAAATGAAAATAAAAGGCAAAGAATTACATTGCTGTGGGATACCCAGTTCAGCCTGCAGGTTAATTATGTATCTTTTATCATGGGATTGAATAAGTACAGTACAGACTAAACAATGATATATCCCTGCTTTTGCTGATCTAATAACGAATCTTCTAGTTGTGCAAAAGAGCTTTTAGAAAATAGTAGTTCTAACCATGATTTAGTAATCATGCAATCTGTTTTCCGATACAGAGAGTACAACTGAGATATAAATAAAATCGGTCCACTGTCCACTAAGGTTGCCTACAGACATTTAAAAAAAAAAAGTTTAAAGAGCTGTTTTTTGTTTGGTTGGTTTTCTTAATATCTGTAAGCAGCCATAGTAACTAAGTTCACCAGTACCACATTTCATGAGGGAACCCCCTTTTAAATAAGCAGTTATCCAACACACACACTTTAATATTTTCCTAGTCAAAATAAAGGCAATAGAGCCCTTTCATTTACTTACCATGTCCTTTGTGTAAAGACTCAAAAAAATCATGACGAGTAAAATGGGATTCTTCCTGACTGCCAATGCTGCCAGGACCAGAAGAAGGGTGCAGGCCATGCGTTATCTCACACGTAGCTTCTTTCTTATTCATAAACTGACTGCTATTTAAAGAATACAGTTTAATGTCTTTAATTTCAACTTGCAACCTGTCATTTGTAGATTCATCTTCTCCAGGTACAAAATTCTGAATAGATATTTGTCCTAAGTGTCCTACAAGGAGTTCAGGGCTACCTGGTTTGCGAGGTATTGATACAATGGGCGACTCTATGTTTATATTTAAAATAAGTTTGATAGTATCAGTTTTGAGAGAGGATGATCCAAATTCATCTCCTTCACTGTCTTCCAAATTGACGTGTTCTCTTGACCGTGGGATTGTGTCGAACAAAGAGACCATTTCACTATACTCGGCAGTTTTAGTCGCCAAGACAGTGGTCACTTTTGTGGCTGCACTCTTCAGCATGCTGCGGAAATTCTCTTCCAACTCATCCATAGACAGAGTTAGTTCTTTCAAAAATTTGGCTGAGTGGTTGTAATGTAACGAAGCCATTTTGAGGTTAAGGGAGCATTCTTCTTTCGACTGTTCTGTGAAAGTGAAACTTAAAGCATCTGGGAGGCTCCTACCATCAAGCCCAAGAAATACAGATTCAAAGTAGCCAATGTCACTGATAAGATTTTCATACCTTATTGTATTCCCTATGCTAACAACATACTGGTTCTTCATGGTATCTTGTGTCAGATCCATCAGGTGCAAGCAGCCAAGAGAGCCATTTACATCTAACCTGCTACACATAGATACATTCACTTTGGTGCCACCAATACTTGCCGTTGCAATTTTTCTGCCATATTTTTCACCATTTGTCATCCTGACTGTCCTAAGGAGAAGTATATTTAGCCAGTGGATGTCCACTGTTACTTCTGTATTCTGTACATAAGTAGATTGATACGTTTCCTGCTCCCTGAAAGTTTTTTCTAAGTCAGTCATTAAAGGCTGGGGACTAGAATCTTCCTTCTCCTTTGGAAAAGATTTCTGGAGAAACCCAATAAGTTCAACAATAGTCTCTGGGTTAAGGATGATGTCCAGGTTGTTTACCTGCACAGACATTACTTGAAGTGTGCTGTCTAAATTCATGGATGGGCATTCCGCACTCACAAACTGGTATTCCAGTTTAATCAAAGATTCCTGATTTTCTGAGTTATTAGCAGATGAAATATTTGAGGCTGCAGCACATTTTTCTGTCAAAGTAGCCATATCAATTGGATGGGCCTCATATGGTCCACAAGTGGGAGACTGTGCTCTGCTATCTCGAAGGCTTCCTGTTGGTACATCAAAACTAAGATTCTTGTGAGAAGCCATTAAAAGATCAAAATCAGAGCCATAAGTCTGCATAGTGTCAACAAGTAGCAAACCATGGACAGTTAGAGATACTTCTGCATCATAAGGCCTCTTCACAAAATGGGCATTAGTGCCAAAAACCTTGAGTACAGAGATGTAGCGCCCATTACTTTCTACACCAAGCTGCATGCAGTTAACTTTAAATTCAGCTAGAAGAAGTTGCGATTCTACAAGAACCTCCCTAGTATGCTGTTCCAGAGTCACAACACTCTGGGTTAAATTCATTACAGAATCATGCAAGCTTCCACCATGGTCTACTTCTGTAAAAATCTTGTCTTTGCCTAAATGCAAAATGTCTGTAGATTTATTTTCAGATGTACTCAACCTTGTAAAACAGTTCTTCAGAGCTGATATTTTATCCTCATTGATGTGTATCTTCAAGTCTGGTAAATTCCCAGAAAGGACAGCTCCTGGATATTTTGGATCAGATGTGTATATTAACCTGCGTTCCAACTGCAAATGAACATTAAATTTTTCAACCACATGAGTTGGACCCACATCACTATCCTGAACATGCTTCCAGTTGTCTTTCACTTGTCCAACCATGATCTGAAGATCCATAAATGATAGTGTATATCTCTCATACATTTTTTTACTCATTAAATGTGCCTGTAATTGCTCTTCACTAATTTCTACTCCAGTATATTCAGATGTTTTGATTCCACTGTCTGCGCTGTCTTTACGTGGTGGAGTACTGGGAGGAGTTGCAAGAGGTGTTTTATATTCATCATCACTCAGCTCATTAGCCTCTGATGAGAAACCATCTCCACCCGTCTTAGAGTCATCTGTGGATGAAGAAGGGACTTATCATCATACTATGTCCTTTACTTTCAGACTCTTCTAAAACATTACCTTTATTTAAAATCATAATTTATAAACAAGATGAAAGAAACTGCCCAGTACAGAAATGATACAGTAGCAGTCTTTTACTATTAATAAAATTTCAATAAAGCAATAGAAGTAATGACATTTATTGCATATGAAGTAATATACTGAAAAGCCTACCAATTAAAAGAGATGTGCTTGTGTTAACTGTACACCATCACCAAACGTGCTTAGAGGAAAAAAAAATGTTCATGTTTCTACATGGTATATTTAAAAGAATTTTGGTCCTAATCCAAAGCTCTTTGCTATAAAGTCAAATAATAATAAATCAGTTTTGATGCCCTCCTATGCAGTTATTTTACATCTAGTCAAAGTTACTTCTCTCTTATTGACAATGAAGTCCTAATTCTGCAATTTCTACCTTTGGGTATGGAAGAGGGGAATTAAAAATAAAAGCAGCCAATTAAAAGATAAAATTCGTCTTTAAGCATGACTAGGAGGCCCAATGGATGCTTCTCCAACAGTATACTCAGAGTTTGCTCAGCTCTGCCTATGAATTTCTAAGGATAAAAAGGGTGAAATCCTAGCCATACGAAAGCCCATGGCAAAATTCCTGTTGACTTAGGGGATGGACAAATTCAGACTGCAGAGTTTAGCAGGCTCCTACAGTTTAAAACTTGGTTTATCTAAAGGTTACAGCTGCACTATTTTTAGAAAATGGGTACCAAATAGAGAAAACTAACTTTTAAATATAAACTGTTTTTCAACTACAGTGTAAGTGAATTTGATTTAAATAAAAGTTTCCTTTTCAGATTGTATACACTTCTTCTGGCACAGCTGAAAAGGTGTGCCATAAAAAGAATGATCTTTTGATGGAAAATAAAATTAGTATTTTCTTCTGTTTTCACCAGTTTAGCCCTAAGCATATTAGCCTACGCAGGACTTCATACTTTAGACACTATCAACAAACGTGTGCTTCCTCTGACAGCTGTCCCAGAAAAGTCCTAAAATCTCCATGACAAAATATTCCTAAACAAAGTAGATTTGCCAGACACATATTATATATATAAAATGGAAATTATAATGGATCCTGCAGAGTTAAAACCATTCTTTAAAAAAAAAAAAAGACACTTTTTTCCTCCAAGTCACAATAAATGTGTTTGTAATAAAACTGTTTGCATCGAGGCAAAGACAAAAATGCTACACTAGGAAAAACAAGTTTTCACATAATCCATACACAGAGGATTTTTAGTTCCAAACTATACCTTGGGAATTGGTAAGTAATATTCTTCCTAGATCCACTACAACTAAGACTGGATCCACAAATTTAAAATCATCAGGGAAGATGACTTGCGGAGCAGAAATATCAAGGCACACTGACCAACATTTGCTGTTTTCCTGGAAGTAGAACAGAAAGGGGAATGTCACATCAGGATTATTTTTCTTCCAGTCACAAAATGAATTCAAAACCCAGTTCTTTCAGAGCCATTCATTTAAGGGTGTACCCCCCTGCCCCCCACCCAAATAGCAAACCTTTGTCAATTCTAGGTTACCTTGGTAAACATATACACTTGACACTGTTTTACCAAGAACTATTGGGGCACAAACATTTTTCTTGAAAAGAAAAAATGTATGAAAATTTGTCTCGCTTGTTAAAATACTTATTTATGAAAGCAAGGGATTAACACTGACATACATTGTTGATATGAGTACTATGAGCTCATGCTTCAAGTTCAAGAAAGAACAACTGTAAGAGCAAAGAGAGTAACAGTAACTCAGACAGCAAACTTTAAACTAATTCATAAAGTACCCTGAAAAATTAAAATTTCACTTTCGTAGACTATTCTGTCGTTCATCAGGACTAACATTTTTTGTGCTACAGAACTGGATTTATTCACTGCAAGAACAATGCAAAATAATTGGGAACTTTATTCTCTCTGTGTCCACTTGCAGAGCTTAAATTACAAGGCAAAGAGACTAAAATATAAGGCAAAGAAACGAGATTCATTGTATTTCTGGGAAAAAACTTACAATGAATTCCCCCACTAACAAACGGTCAATAGTTTGTCTAATTTCAGCTTTTGTCTGCATTTTCAGTTTGTTGTATTGTCTTCTAGCAGCTTCAGCCACTCTCGCCTCTAGTTCAGACTGATATCCAAAACCTGTATGAAAGTTAAAAAAAAAAAAATATATGACTAGGTGTAATTTTGTTCACTACTGCTGAAAAAGCAGAGAGAATATCTATGTTGATTTATAAAATATTAACAACACTTGGAAATCTTAAGATATGGAAAGTTTTAACTGTTTATGTAGTAAAATAAAAGCCAGGAAACAATGATACAATAGATATCCAATTACTGCATCTATCACTGGAGTGACTCACTTCAACAAACAGAACTAAATATTAGAAGTACTGTGAATAAGTTGCCAGAAACAGCTTCTAAAGTCAACAAAGCATTTTCTAAAGCCTTTTCCGTTCATTGTCTGTCATGCTTCTTTCAACTTTAATTTCCAGAGGAAATTCTGACTAAATGTTCTTAACAACTCATGGGAGGTAGCAAAAGGCAGCCAAAAAGTCTTTTTGTTGTTTAGCAATACCATTTAAGGGATATTGTGATTTTGTGAAAGGAAGGGAAAATTAATTTTTATATTATGCCTCACTGGTATTTGAGCCTATCAAGACACTACTGAAAATGCCAGACTCAAGCCAAAAAAAAAAAAAAGGCATAGCATTAGGAAACCCCAAATGATTCTTATTCTCACCTTTCCTCCTCTCAAACATCCAGCAATAAGGGTGTAATAGCAGCTTACACACAGTGACACACTTGGGTCCCAAACCACCAGGGCAAACAAGGATTTGCAGATAATGGAAGCAATGTGTTCATTTCACAGTGACACATTATTTCAAACAGCTTTAAGAGGGACAGACTTTTTCTGATCAATCCAGAAATGGCACCGATAGACCCAAGAAAAGGGACACAATCTTGTAATAACACGGCTTCTATCAGCACAGCAAATTAAAAAGTGGAGTGGGGAAATGTCCTGAAAGCATGGTCTTTCTTACTTTAGAAATCAAAGAGAACCCACACAATATCCTCCTCTTGCTGTTTTGCAGTGCTTTAAGTAAGAGGGAATGAGGTGGGGGAAGGAATCAAACTTGGAAAAATAAATAACGTATGAAAAAAACAAAAAAGGTTAACCTGAGGTATGAACCCTTCCCTTGTAGAAGAAATCAGCTACTTTCTTAATGGCTTGTGGATTGTAAATAATATTTAGAGGTCTGGTACTGACTTCCAGGCGTCTCTCAAAATTGCTGCGGGCTGGGTTTCTCTCATACAGCATCTCAAACACTGGAGCATCTGGATCTGCAGTTTAAGATAACACAAAAATCAAAAATGAATTTTCTCCAAATGAGAAATAAGAACAGTTTATATGTACTACTGTATTGACATCCGAACCTCTATCCAAAATACAAATTAGAAATGACAATTTAGTTTAAAATACAATGGATATGACCAACTGGCACAACAAAAAGAATTTAATCCCATACGCAACTAACTTTTCAAAACTGAATGCATCAAGTGAGGTTCCTAAATCAAGCAAAGATTACAATTCAAAAGGTGTCGAGTAACTGCAAATCCTGCTGTCTTCAATTAGGGATATGTTGACTCAATACTTAATCAAAATTAGAAAACATATTTAGGTATAATCTGCTCTATCTGCATGGACCTAAGCATGATTTAGATCCCACACTGACTTTGTACCAGTATGAAGCATTTTGCAAGGTAAAAGTTTAAATGTATAGATTTAACAGAATCATTTTAAGTGCCCGGTTTTGATATTTTTAATTGATATTAGCTAACATGCATTTGGAATAACACAGTCTGTTTGTGCATTCGTAACAGTTTAAAACTGAAAACATTACCAGTGTTCTGATTGGTCATTTCTGAAGACAAAGTCTGGAGACCAACGGATGAGAAGCAACCAACCTCTTTTTGCTAATTAGGGGGAAAAAAAGATCATTACTCTGAATATAAAAATAAGTCATGTAATGTACATATACAATTATCTTATGCTTTTTCTTCGATACCTTTGAAACTGCCTCGATAATGCAATGATTCATAATAATCTCAAATTATTATGCTATGCACTTCTTACAGTCAACAATGGTAAAAAAGGAATAAGATAACATGGAAAAACTATTCTTTTACTGAAGCTAAAAACATAATAAAAACTGCAAACAAAAATCACGTTTCTGCAAATAAAGGAATATTACACTTAGTATGCAAGATGCCATTAAGGCTAAAGGAAAATGGAGAAGGGGCTTCAATGCTTTAGCAAAAATATTGAAGGAAAATGCTCCTGGATCTTAAGTTTGTAGCCTAGAACTAGAGGCAATTGAAAGAAGACCTCCAGAAAGACCCATATTTTTTGTTCTAAGAGGAAACAAAAGAAGAAAAGAAACTCTCCAACTCATTAAGTGACAGCAATGACAGCTCCAAAGTTAAACGTAGGCTAATAATTAGCACCTAAGTAATAATACCTAGAATATCGGCCTTTGAAGTTAAAAATAAGCACACGTAAGTAGTGCAGTGCTTTGTAAGCAATCTTCAGAGAGATCATGGTGGTGACTGAGTTAACAGAGTTTTTCCTATGCTTACAATGCAAATTAAGAGCAGCCCCATTTTTTCTACTGCTGTTCCAGCACAGCTATGTTTTTATTTAAATATTCTCTCCAAAGTGATAACAATAAGTATATCTGCATTCTTTTACATACAGGATTAGGGAACACAAGAAGAGGAAATATGGTCCCTTCTGTTGCTAAATCTCGCAGGAAAAGGCCACCAAGTTGAATTTTGAGAAGGGAAGAATTTCTGCGGGGAAGGGATTCAGCTAAGATCTTTACACCTGGAAAATAAAAGACATAAATAGCTGTACTGTATTCTAGAGAGAATAAAAGGTCAAAATATACTTAAAGCAAACAGATACCAGTATCATGTAAGGAAGGTAAGAAACCATCCACTAGCTATAAGATTGGTCAGTTATGTTTCAGTGACCATGTATTAAATTATGCTTCTCACTACTGACAGTTTCTCCAAACTCAGAAGTTACAACTCTTATACTACTGAAGGCAATATTTGTGCAAAGAACATGATTAGGAGGGTCTGTACATACTTATTTATACAATAAAGATGAAAAGCAGAATTCTGGTGCAGCTCTCTACAAATGTATTATCTACACTAAGAATTATGCACCCCTCTAAGTAGAAAAATTTAAATGAAAGCTCAATAAATCTCTATCCTACTCCCATTCTGAACTGTCCGTTTTTAACTGGATAGGCATCTGGCTGGGGTCATCTGACCCCAGCACTCTTTCCTGCCTAGGAAGGGGGTCGGACTTGTTCTGTTGAGGTCCCTTCCGACACTAGCATCTATGAACCTATGAACTGCAAAATAAGAAACATTCGCAAGGTATAAATTCATATGAACTTAAAGAAAGTGACAGCTAAATATATATTCTCAATATGATATTTTGATATTGCCATATTACTAACTCAAAGTGATGCATGACTACAGCACTTATACAGCAGACAAAGTTCCTGTCCTTTTAAGAGATAATGAATAGAAGTTCAAATATGATACCTGAAAACTCCAGCTGCATGAAAGCACTTTCATTTGAATCCAGGGTCCTTTTTTCCCTGTGTAGCAAGGTGACTGTGCCACCCTGCAACTGGAGATTTAGTTTAGCAAAAACATGATCTCTCTTTGTAAATGTATTCATGCTGGAGGCATCTGCAGCAGGATCAAAAAATTCATCAGCACCTAGTTAAAAAAACAGAGAAAAAACAAATGTTTAATAGGCTAGCTACATGAGATCTAAAGGAAAACAGACTTCTTGGAAAATTAAGGGAAAAGATGAACCAGCTACTGAAATAAATAAACAGTTAGGCAACAGATACAATTTCTTTCCTAACCAAAACTGCAAAATACAGCATGGCTCTTGGTAAACGATGTTCAGGTTACGGCAATGCAACCCGTGACTTCAGAAAGACTGCTGTTGAACTTATGAATAGTTCTAGACCTTAACTGAGGTTCTACCAGACTGAAACGCCAAGGCTGTTGCACACAAAATACGTTACGTGCTACATTAGACCTTCTGGATGTGTACTTCTCCTACTCCTGTAGGTGTCATTAGTAACAACTAAAATAGTACAAATTACCTAAAATTCTTTTCATTAGGCTGTTTTAGAAATGACCAATGTAATCAAGTAATAGCATAGATATGCAATGCTTAGATTTTAGCAGGAAACAAAGATAAATGAAGTTTTGAAATATTTTATCCTGGCATTTAAAAAAAAAACTATGTAAATATCTCCCTTTAATTATTTGAAATTTGAAATACCATTTTAGCTTATTAAGGTAACATTTTGGAGATGAAATACTTCCATACTCAGTATATCTTCTGGATTCCACTGCTCTTGTGTTTCAGGCAGCAACCTCTGAAAAGGTTCACCTTCATACGTTTGCTGAGTTTCCCCATACCAGCCTCCCCATCCAGGAAACCAAGACTGAAGATATTGCAACATCCCACTGCTACTACTGTGTTGTATGGTCGGAGTAACTCCAGGAGAATCAGACAAAGGCTCCTTAACGCTCTGTTTCAAATCAACACACAAAGACATGTATTAGCATAAACAGCTGAAAGACTTCTTAGAGGCCTAAAAATCTACTTATAATAATTCTCTTTAATTTATTTACTGAATATTCTGAAGCACAACTCCCATATAATAATCCTTTCAATGGTTAATGAACTGCTGATGGTGTCTCAATGGGCTGTACAATCTTTGTCTAACCCTTCCAAACATATTATTACCACAGTCCTCTATTGTAAGACTATAGTATAAAGGTAGGTATAACTACTGCTAGACTTCTAACAATTCCTTGCCAAGTTGCTAGCGTTTCTAAGAAAGACTTAACTATTTGTCATGTACCCTAACTAGACCTCTATCAGTAAACAATTACTTTAACAATAGAGTAAATGCTCAGGTTTGAAGACAGCAGCCTACATTTATAAGAGACTGGATTTGGCATTATAAATTCCAGGATAATTCCATTGTAGGTTTTAGTCTTATCTCTCCCCTTTTCAATGTTAAAGGAAAAGGAGCTTTTCTTTTAATGGTGCTAATATCAGTGTTCATTATTAGTATTAGAGACAGCTGGGAAACAGGTTTTGCTGCTCAATAATTTGATAATAGGATTCAGTTTATTATGGCTAAGGTTATTATGGTAATCACACTCTTCATCCTGAATTTACCACACAGCAATATACCTTTTAATGGCTGAAATACAATGCTTTTCAATGCATTTGGCACATTTTAGTTATAAAAATATTAGCAAGTAAACAGCAAGTGGCTTACTTCAGCTAGTTCATGGAATTTGTCAAAAACAACTTCATGTAAAACCTTTAGCTCCTCATATGTCTGCTCTTCTTCAATGCGATGCATTTCTGCCTGCAAAAACAAATATATACTTATACAGAAGAAGTTATTTGTTCTTTATGCTTCTCAAAAATACATACACTTAAAGGGAAAATATTTGCCACCGGCTTCCAATGGGCTTGTAAGCTCTTAACTCATTAGGGTACTTTTAAAATACCCTAGGCCACAAAAAAATGTAATAGGAATCGAACTTAATTTGTCCAGATGATATACAGCTAAGCAAATATATATATATTATGCTACGGGCATGCCAGCACCAGAAGTAGAAGGGAAATAGTTTAAGTAATTGGATGAGAAAGGATGAACCATACTGTCTTTGAACGGATTTTATTCCTAAAAGACAAAACCATCTCTGGCATCTTATTCCAACTTTTGCGTGAGAAGCATGGACTTAAAACACCGCCTGTACCAGAGCACATATTGTGGTAGAGAAACAAAAGGTATACGAACAAAGATTTTACAGCCTCAGGCAGGGGGCTGGACTAGAGCCCTACTTCTCTATAGCTATCCCTTACAAAGCAATGTGCCACCACATGACAGCCTACTTAGTAAGTCAGAAACAACCTTACAGTTCAAGCTATATACGTTAACACAAGAACAAAAAACAAGGCACATTTGTTTCATTTCATGTAGATGCAAGAGTCATACCAAGATGTTATCTAGACTGAAATATTTGCAGCTTTCAGTACCTGTTCTGCAGGAGACAGCAGGTCTCCTCTCAACTTGCTGTAATACATGTCAGTGTAAGACGCAGCATCCTGGGCCCGGCGTAATGCAAACTCCCATGTAGAACGTTGCCTCTGTTCTCTGATCTCTGAAAGATTAGCGTTCAAAGCAAAGATCCACCACTCTCGGCAGCTAGAACGTTTCAAACAAACAGATCTCCAATTAACAACGGATTCATTTGGAGAACAATCAAGAAACATTTAGGTGAGCAAACAGAGTACAACTGGTTAGAAAATGTTTCAGAAAAAAACTGAGTATGAATGATACATCAGTAACAAGTCTTACTATTACACTAAGCAGCTCCTCAAACCTTTGGTATAGAAGCCCCAATTCCTTCCACAAAGAAAGACTCAAACTCGCCCCCGTAGAAAGAAAAAAGGAAAAGGAATTCCCATCTAATTTTCTTTGGCTCTTAAAAATTGTGACAGGAATGGCTTTGAGCTTTGGATCCATGCAATTTATTTTAGCTATATGCCTAAATTATATACATGGAAATAATTTACCTAATGAACTATAGAAAATAAAAATAATGTGAAAATTGATATTCCTAAACCCTGGGCACCACGCAATTACTACTTACTACCTTTGAGGCTTTTACCTTAATTTTAATCAATATACAGCTTTTATTTTATCTTAGGCACAAAGCACATCCTTAACAAAATATAAGCAGTATTCATACTTACTTTCCAGTTACTGGAACTTTTGGTCTCCATTTCCTGAACTTAAGCTGTCGCTCCTTTCGATCCAGTTCCTTTAGGAAGCCCATGATTTGTTGGTACTGCATCTTTTATTAAAACAGCATGTGGATGAATTAGGGAGTGCTAATGTAGCCTGTAAGAAATGCAAAACTCTAGAACTCTTGGTTCAGAGATGATAGATACCACCTTTTATTAGACCAACTAAGAATAAAAGGTATCAGCTCTGAACCAAGAGTTCTGGAGTTTTGTATTTCTTTTTGTCTCAGACCAACACGGCTACCAAATACATCCCGGAATGTAGTCTGTATACATGGGACTAATGTATTCTGAGGGAAAATAACCTACTGTAGTGTTATTTTATCTGCAATGGTAAGTGGTCATATTCTTTATACAAGAAAAAGCAGCATCCATCATAATCACAAGGAATCATACAATACTAAAAGAAAAAAACAAAAACAAAAAACACTGTTGTATCAAGTATTTTATATGTCAAAAATATTGTTTGCAAGTTTCCGATTTACACATTTAGTTTGTAAAATTTCTTCTTTCCAGCTCAGAAAAACAACGTAACATTGAAATAGGACCTACGATAATGTCTAAGGTTGTGCAATACCTCTGATCCAATTGTATGTGTACAACAAGATGAGATTTTGTATGGATAGAAGAAACTACATGGACTACAATTTACTAAATAAACTGAAAAGATGAATCCTAAAAGAAAATTAATGTTTTAAAAGTAAGTACTTATTACTCAGACTAATAATTTTACATACATTTAAAAATTAATCTCTTTAAATTATAGGCTTTGTTGCATGTTACTTGCCACATAGCAGCAGCATTATTTATAACAAGTATTGTAGAAAAGAAATCTGCTATTTTAAACGTGCGAGTGATTTAGAAACTACACAATTACTGGAATAAGAGTTACTGTTGTGCTATTGCTCTGTGCAACTGCTCTGAAAAGAAGTTGGTAACTTGGCACTCATTACTTATAGGATTCAAGTCCTTGTAGTTTAGTGACAAAAATAAATTTATGCTAATGTTCAGGCCTGTCAATTGTAGAGAGGACGATAATGGGGAAAAGCTAGATTCTATTGTTTATCAAACCCTGACAAAAAAAATACCAATTTCTGTTTTCAGTTAAACCTCCAAGACAATAGGGCTGTGCCGATTTAACTGAAAGTAACAGAAATTGTCATTACTAGTGAGGTACGAAGCAGGGGAAGAGGGGACACAGAGTGCAGCCTGACTTTTGGGTAGTGTCAGGAGACCCAAGTTTCATTCTCAAGTCTACCACTGACCTGCTGCGTTACTCAAGCAAGGTGCTTCATTTCCCTGCACTTCTGTCTTCCCACATAAATTCTTCCTGGCTTGTCTGATTAGCCTTTGGGGCTAATCACATCAGTTGGATAGCATCTAAACTAACTACTAAGATTCCTGTTTCAGGTGAGGCTTCTTGCCACTATGTCATAGCAAATAATAGAGTTCAAAAAGTTCACCAAGACTCAGCTTAATGTACCATGGGCCCGCTGAAAATAAACAGTGTCCAAAGCATCGTCTGTAGAAGTGACTCTATCGCATTTTACCTGTGAAAGTTTCAATGGTATAGTCTCAAACTGGATGTCGCATTCCAGCCGAGGAGTCTGCCGTGATCGTAAAGGCTCCTTAGAACAATTTCTCTTAAGAAGAGCAGAAGTACACACAGGCTCCATAATGTAATTGTGATTCCGGCTCTCCATACTGTTATCCATTGCTTCCTGCGAGTTACAAGCAAGCTGTGTCAGAAATATGCTTTACACTCATTTCCCTGAAACATCTATATAAAACGCATTCACGATTTACATAAACACTTTGGTCTGCACATAAAAAGGATTAAAAAAATTGTAATGATTTTTTAAGTCTAACTGTTCTAAAACAGGCTTTTTCATTAAAACTTTCTTATAACACGGGTATCTTGTTTATATATTTGGGGAAATTATTACCATATTTACTTGCATATCACAAAAAAAAAAAATCAGCCTCCCAAAATAGGGGTGCAAGTCTTCAGTAGGGAAACTGATTTTCTGCCCACATAGAAGCAACCCACTTTGACACCTAACTGTAGCTGCAGTGGCATTCGCATGCAGGCTACCAAGGGAGTCAGGTGATTTAATAGCCAACTCTTCACTCCAGAAGTGTTAATGAAGTCTCTCGTTTTTAATGGTCTGGATGTTCCGCTAATCAAGCCAACCTTTCTTCTGGCATATTTGGTGTCTTTTAGATACTCATCTCTACTAAAAACAGTCCACAAGGCCGTGAAATAAAAGTGTAGGTTCCCCACCCATGGAAACCAGTCTTCCACTGCAGCTAGGGCTTCAACTTTTGGTTAAGCAGGAAAAGGCAGATGAGTGAGCTGAAGATTAGGCTCTGGCCCTCCTCTACAGAGGCATAACTCTAAAAAAAAAAAAAGGCTTTTCTTCTTCATTCTGCCTTCCCAAAGAGCAAGATGCGTGTCTTATTTAGGGGAGTGGGGTATGTGATTCCATAGTGCATACTGTTTTATAAAGATAACACTTTGCATTTGTACAGCATATTCTGGGGGTCTCAAAGCACTTTACAAACAACAGACTATGAACCCTCACCACTCTTATAAAACAAAAAAATATTATCTCCACTTTTTTGGCAAAATATTCTGATGCACAAAAAATGTTAAATTATTCACTACGGGTTCTGTAAGTTAGGGCACAGCACGTAGGATAAAAGAGTACTTTGTGTAAATAAAACACAACACACAGTTCCCGACCCCTGGAACCTCTAATTTAAAACCCCTCTCCTGCAATCAGATCCACCCAAGCAGACCCTTAACCCTGGGTGTACTCTTCCTGAATTCATGTTGTGCCTAGTTCCCTGTGATCACAGTCCTGAGGAAGAATGTGTTGCATTTAAGAGCCTGTCTCACTTTATCCTAACTATACAACTGGTCCAATAAAAGATATCACTCCAAGAAATCTTTGCCTTACAATTTCTGGACCATCGCAGCTACATCATCATTCCTAGGCCACTGAATTCAGCGCAACTCTACATGGACATAAAAACCCATAAGTTCCTGGTTGGTTACAGTGTCATACTCTTCTGCTCAGGGTCAGACTAATTGCCACATTTAGGACCAGGAACCAATTTTATCCAAGAGAAAGATCAGCATGGACTGTGAGGTTTTTTGCCTCTGAAATACAGGGCAGTCCTCCTATTTGGATCTCTTGAGCATATTTTAACTAAATATCTGTAGTTGCAAAGATCGGACATCAAAGGCATGCTCAGTCCCCCGTTTTACTGTGGCAGGTTAGCGTGTTCTTGGTGTTCTGGGGCACTGTGCCTGGTACTTATGTGAGAGAGTTTTTTGTACAGCTCTAAGATTAGGTTAGACAAACGCTTGTATAGGATGGTTTAGATTGGAGTAATGACCCTGCCTTGAGTAGGAAGCTCGATTAGATGACCTCCTGAGGTCCCTTTCAGCCTTATTTTTCTACGATTCAATTCTGCAAGTGTAAAAAGCTAGATGAAGGCTTACATTACATTTAGAATACACTGAGAGATCATAGTACAGGTGGAGCAAAGCCATCACTAAACAGAAAAGGAGGATTGCTCCTAGTAGACAGCAACCCGATGACAGCCTGTCATTACAGTGGGTTGGACTTGTATGTTTCAACTTTTTTGCATACCTTCCATTTAATATTTATAGGATACATTTTATAAACTCTAAGTTTATCGGGTCACTGGAAGGCCTCAGAAGAAGCAAATTTTAAGGAAGGCCTCCAAAAAAGAAAAGTAAGAGAGACAATGCCAAGTGGTGTTTAATATAATCTTTATAGGTGCTATACAAACCTTTGCCTTTCAAGATATATCCACAAGTTTGTTGCTTCAGATATTGCTCAACTTCAAAACATACTACAAAATTCATTCTACGTTATAATATGAACCAATGGCAGAACATGAAAACCTCAAACTTTTCCCTTTCATTATCAAGCAATCTTTAAAATATTCTGCTATACCTGTAGATCAACAGGAGGCAGATCACCCAATAAAGCGCAATCAGTATCCCAATAAATACTGAAGTCAGCAACATCCAACTGCTTTTTTCGCATCAACTTCTCTACCTTAGGTAAAAATAAACAAACACGTACATACATACATAATGATGCAAACAGAATAATGATATTTAAACATAATTTAATTTATTCAGAAACCACTAATAAATACTCAGTATGTAATACGCAGCTGTGTTTGACATTATCCTGATAACTCTAATTATTTCCAACTACAAGAACATTTTATTATAACACAATATTTACAATAAGCTTTTTTATAGTAGCATATATTAAAATGTAAAGAACATAAAAAAGACATTTTAGCTAACAAGGAATTCTGTTTAAACAAATGTTAACACTGGCCTATACTCACTGGCTCATTAATAGCATTTTGCATCGATACATTTTTGATGCATATTCCAAACGCAAATGGTTGAGAAGGATTTGTGACACCATCTTCAAATCTTAAATGAACATCCTGAATTTTTAACTGGAGAGAGAAAAAAAAAAGTTGCAGCGAGCAAACAGACTGTATGAAAATGTAATACAACATCTAAATTTTTGTCATCACCTTACTTAGGTCTGGGAAGTCCCAGTTCTTCCAAAGATCTATGATATTTGCTTCTGCAGAATGAAGATGATAACCTTCAAGATAAAGTCAGCTGTGGCCATATCATTTGCATTTAGAGGAAATCACAATACAAATTCAGCAACTTGTTAATTAGTACACAGACCAGGGGTGCATAACATCCAGGACATTCTCAGTGTTCTGCCATAATTCTTTATTAAATCACTTTATTAGACAAAAAAAGGATTTAAAAAGCAAAACAGCAAGCCCCTAGTACAGCAATTTGCTAATCTGTGCATGTACCCACATGTGTGATCCACTTTTCTACTTGCAGAGAAGCTGAGGGATTGTATTAAAACACAGTGGATCCCACCTTCTACTGAAAGCTTTACCTCAAAAGTGGTCCTCAAAGCTTCAGCTGTGCACCCTCAACAAACTACTACAGGGAGGATTGCTATATTTTTAACCCAGGTATTTAATAATGTAGATGTACTTTGAGATTCTATTTAGTAAACATCGTGCAGCTGAATGCATGCATGTTTAGCTTTAATCGTGGCTTTAAAATAGAGAAGCAAAGGAGCCCGAGTTCTAGAATTTTGATTGAGTCTGCAACTAAACAGCAGAGGTTTTTACAAGGGCAAATACTGCTAGACGAAGAATAATAATGTTGTCAGTTGTACAATCTTGCAAGCAGTATCAACTTTCATGCACTAGAAATAAGCAGACCTATGTAAGGCTCAAGGTGACCACACTGGTAGCATCTCAGATGTGTGCTTCCATTTTTCTTCTTTACATAGCATTAATGGCATGCTCTCACACAGATTTAAGGACAGCAATTTAATATTTCTAAGCATTTAAAATTGGAAGTTTTACTAAACTTGAAGGCATGGCAATACTAAACTGAGAAGAACCACACAGCTAGATAACATTTATGCAGCCACGCTATCCATGAATTCCTATAAAAAGAAAGGGAATGAACTGCTACTTCCCCACAGCCAGAAAAAAAGTGAACAAAATGAATAGAGGTTGGTTCGAATTTAGAGCAGAGAGGATTCTAGCTCCAGAAGAGGTCTTTTTCTTCCATGCATCCACTTCTGTTTTACAGATAGTTAAGCCTCCAGAAAGCAAACATGAAGCATGTTATATATAAATTGAATATATTTTGTACATTATGAAGAAAGATTCAGAGTCCATGAGACTTACTTCTATATTTTCTACAATCCTCGCAACTACTGATGCAGTAACTGAATACCAGTAAGATTCTCCTTTCTGCTGTCGTTCCTTCTGAAAGAGAGAGGGAAGAACGAAATTTATTGAACAAGTAATCTATTCTATTCAAATATAAGGTCTGGCAAGAAGAATAAATTCTAACATGTACGTGACCAGGGACAAACACCTAAGCAGTGATGTGAAAATATCAGCTGGACTCTACAGTAGAAAAGTATTGCTATTTTAAGGCTATTGTTTGTTAAACAGGGACTTGCTTGTAGAAGCAGTAACTTAGATTGCAACATAGAATTCTAAGCGTTAACTTATTTTCACCACCAAGACATTTATTTTGAAGAGCCAAGTTAAGCAAACCCCATATAGTTTACTTTATGGTTACTGATGCACTACACCAGGGGTTGTCTACCAGGGGTACGTGTACTCCTGGGGGTACTTTGAACAGTCCCAGGAGGTATATGGGGGCAGGCGGGGACAGAGTGCTGCCACCCCGTGCTGCTGCCAAACAGGAGCAGGGCCAGGCTGGGGCAAGAGCAGGGCTGCACAGATGCTGTGCTGCCACCGCTTCACCACAACCCCACCCTGTGTCCAATTGCTCACCACCACCCTTCCCTGCCCCCCAGGGGTACACTTATTAAAAAGGAGGCCGCCAGAGGTGCACTTATTAAAAAAGGTTGAAAACCCATGCACTACACAATGGTGTTCAACCTTTTGGTGTGGCAGGATGGATGAATGGCGTGTGACCCTCCATTTAATATAATGGATCATCAGGCCCCACACTGCCTCCAACCAGCTTCTGTGTACCCAGACTGGTCTCCATGTGCTGATCACTACAATATCCAGTCCAGGGGGTTCACATGGCTTCAGAAATTTGGCAGCAGCAGAACAGCAACTGTTACCACTGCTCCCCCACCACCAAATTTTTGGACCCCAGCAGGCTGGGTGAGACAGGTCCATGGGCCAAATCTGGTCCCTGGGTCAGGGCTTGAGCATCCCTGCATTAGCATGATGTTTCTATGGCAGACACTGCTGTGGGATGTTTACTTCTAGATTAAAGTTAATTTTATTTTAAATAGAAGGGTTGCAGAAGATTTAAAAACTGTTATAGTCAACATTGGGTAAATATATAATTTTTAAAAATAAAACATCATTTGGGTATAAGTTACAAAAAAAATGTAAATGGCCAAAAATGGAGGATTTCTGAATGCTCTGACAAAATTAAATTAGTAATTAGTTAATTTTATAAACCTGTATATTAAAACAAAGATATGACTTGTTTTACCTAATACTGTATAATGATAGAAAGAGATCAATGCTTTGTTTTAAATGGCATATTTTAAAGGTATCTATTGGTCATACTATTTGTAAAGTAACAAGGTTAGAAAACTCAAATTATGAATATTATGAATATTAATGATAACATGCTAGCCTGGCTACAAAGAAGTGGTTTAGAAAATACTACTGAAAGTTAGCTACCGTTTATCTCAATATTTGGGGGCAAAAAAGCAATTTTGTTCATCCATTTAGACTTTGATCCTCTGAAACATGCCCACATACCCTTTTTCCATATTACTGAAAAGACAGGATTTTAATAGAAATGTAAAAAAAAAAAAATCCAATCATTAAGAGTTAACTTGAACTATTTTATACCAAAATGACTGCCAAAAAAGTTTATTCGACACCTAAAAGTAAATTATCAAAGATCTGTCATAAAAGCATCACTCTTCACTATATATTCTTAGATATTACTGCAAGGAACTCACAACAACACACATACTAGGGTCAAATGCCTATAGACTACTAATACTATATAACACCACAAACAAAATGACAACCTGGCCCATCAAGTAACTTGCAAGTAGTTTCATTTCTAATCACACACATTCCCACCAAATAGAAACAGAAATTAGTGGAACAAGAGATCTGGAAGTCTCTAACTGGGCATACATTGCTTCCCACTCTCTTCAAAACCACAGCTGCTGTGAATGAGAAACTGGACAGCAATCAGTTCCTCCAATAGATTAATCTTATAATTAAGACTCCGATCCAAATACTAGTAGTTAAGGTTTCAAAACACACTCATTGAACAACAGTCAGTATTTCCCAGAGGATGGAAGGAATCAATATTTGAAGGCAAAGGCCCCTGAAGGTATGCTGGAACATCATACAGGTTACTTTGTACTGGAAATCCCAAAGTATGGATTATTATGGCAAAGTCTTTGTCTAAAAGAGAGGACAGGTTGTTAATATTTTGGCCAGGAAAAGAAAAAAGAGGTGGTATAACCTATATTGTACAGCTCATAGTAAAAATTATTTCACACCCAAGCTACCAAAGCCATGAGGCATCCCCTGGCAAACCACATAAATCATTAAGCAAGATTCTCTGGGTATTTTCCCTACCCCATCACAAAGTACTCCATCATCAAATCTGGATTGAACTTAAACCACTATCTTAAAATCAATTCAAAAGCATTAATCAGGTGGCAGTACAGTGGTATAATTACATTGCTGTGATTTGAAACAGAGAATATCACCAGCCTACTAAAAAAGTGACAATGTTGCATCTCATCAGCAATATAACAAGAACTTGGTTTCCTGCATATTTGACCAAGGAGAGACTAAAATTTGTTACAAAATGTAAATATGACCTTTCTAACACTACCAGATCCTTTAGTTTTAAGAGGAATCCTACATGACTCACTTTCCATTTTTCTTCAAGTGAAAGAAGAAGAGCTTTCTTGCGTTCCCTTTCTAGCAATTTCTCCCTTTCTTCATCAAAATCTTCTTGCTTTTCTGGTGCACCAATTAGGTGGAGCTTCGATATAGATATCACCCATGGATCCACGTGTGGGCGATAAAAAGGGATTTGCAGTGTTATTTTGCCAATGAAACCTAGAATCACCAAGATGAGATGCTGTTAATGTCCCACACAAGCACATTATGCTCTACATAAAGAAAAATGACCTAATGGCATGTTGAAAGAAGTAATTACCAGAAACTTAGATCACATCATTTGTTCAAGCTTCTAGCACTTAAATGCAAACTTTTCTTTCATGGCCAGCTTAAACCTATAACTTATTACCAAGGGATATCTAGAAATGCTACCATATGCACTGCTTCATATTTAACTGGGAAACTAGCAAAAAAGAACAGAATAATTCCATCTGGTAACATTTGTCTATTGTACACATACATACCTGCCTTTACCTCAAATGGTAATTCTAGTTCCTTCAAGGCATCTTTCTTTAATGGTAAGTTTTCCAGTTCAACAGCACCTGGAGTAGGATGAAAAACCAATGTCTGCTGAAGAAGACTACATTAAAGAATGCTGAGCTGAGAATGAAGAACGTAAGAGCAATCATAATTCTTCTTCTCTTTAAAACAGATAAAAATAAATGAAGGGGATAAAATTCTATTTCAGGAGCAAAGCAAGTATTTGTAAGAAGCTGAAGTCAGAGTTCCCCAATTAATAGTAAACCATGTAAAAAGAACATTTTTTTTCTTCTTTCCATAATAGTTAAAACATTCTCTCTCTGGAAATTATGAAGCATTTTAAGCAAGGATGTAATTTTTCCAGAGTGAGGCTAGGAAGAAAACTTTGATATTTGTAGTGTAGAAAAAATATTGTTGTTCTAAATTATCCCAATAAAAGATCAGGAGGCACAGTAAACAAATGAATAGCTATTGATTTAGTTGTTTGTAAAGATGCCCAGATTTATGAGCATGATATAAATTAAAAGGGACTCAACAGAAAAGGAGACTTTATTAACACACAGTGAATAGTAATAGTTTAAATGGCAGCACCCTCCTCCATAGTTCTATAGAAGGCTATCATTTAACATTTTATGAAAAGTGCAATAGTGCATATACATATCAATTCATATTTTTAATGCATACCTTTGCATGTTTTCTCTCTTGGAGGGAGATTACAATTAAAGCTTTTCTCCATCCTAGCACAGAATTATCATTCTAAGAAATCTTGCTTCTCTTTAAGTACCTATATTTAATCTGGTCTCACACATACAAGAACACTGGGTTCTATCAAAGTGATGTTTCTGACCCCAAAAAAGAAGAATATATCAATCCTAACAATCCAATCTACACAAAAACAGAATGAAATGGAGGAAGCAAAGAACAGGGCAAGAACAGAGGAAAGGGGAAGAATTAAAGATGCAGCAGAAGATAGAAGAGGAAAAAGGAGGAAAAAAAATAGCACAGGAAAGATTCACTGTGGAAGAAGATGTGTATGGCCCTAATCCTTACAACTGTTAAGTAAGTTCATTTTGGTTTCAATGGACTTTTGCCTGAACAACCAAATACCAGATTGAGCTCCTGATAAGAAACCTGGGCACATAATAAACAATGTGAAGCCAACCACACAACTTTCATTGATGAAGTGCTGAAGAATTTGACCTTTGATTTTGTGGTGTGTGGGAGTAGAAACAGAGAAAGATCTCTCCCCAGCACATGAAAATGGAAATATTTTAGGGAACTCGGTAAAAAACCTAGCAGTCAATTTCATGAAATTTACAGTTTCCAGTCTCTGGTGGGTAATAAACCCTTGATAAATCAAGTATGTTGAAGACTTTGCGTAACTATATTTTTATTGCTTCAGCAATAGTGCAAGTTATTTGGCCATAATACCCAAGGCTGTACTCGGGATGAGGACTACATTGTGCTATGCACAGTACAAACACACAAAAGGACACTGTAAGCTGTTCAGGCAAGGACAATTTCTTTTATACTTGATTTCTCCTTACCCACTTGTCCTATCCCTACAGATACTAAGTGTACCGCTCAAGACTGAGCCAGGCAAGACACAGAAAAAGCCTATTTATGCTAACCCTTATTAATATTCTATCCAGAATTTAATTCTATCTAGGATTAGTTCTTTAGGTAATCAGAGCCAAAACTGGTTTCCTCAAGTGGAAATAAGCTCCTTCCATAACACATGAAGACCATGAGTTAATTCAATAACTAAGGGTGTGCCTGTGCTGAAGTTTCCAACATAATATAGATACCCCTGGCAAGCTTGATTTCGAGAAGCAGTCTAGAATTTAGCATAGACTCTTGTACCTTCTCAAAAGGATAAATTAGCTTGCACTGAACCTGTGCTGCTGCAGCTAGGCTGCTTCCAGTATTTGAGCTGGTTCAGGCATCTCTACATATACTCTTAAGGCGTTTACCTTTCATAAATTACGGCCCCACCCCTCCACAAGTGAGTCAGGGAAAATTAAAGAACCCATTCTCACCTGTTGCATATATTTCTAAAAGGAGAGAAAGGAAATTATACCCATGTGCTTTCAATGCAATTATACACATACGTCAGTAAAAACTATGGGCAATTAAGATGCTCTCTATGTTCTACCCAAGCTCCTCTAGTAATCTCTTCCCTTATTCAATCTATGTCTTCTTTAAAAACTACCTCCGTATGCTTGAAACAGTTCTCCAATCATTTACCAAGCATCACTCCTCACCAACAAAGTTCTTCTGAAACCCTCTAGCTGGATTTCAGAGTGATCTCTCTAGCTGGAGTACATGCCATTGTCTATTGCACTCATTTCCAAATAAGTTCATAAATAACTGATCTGCAATGAAGATTTATCAATCAATATATAGTCTGTTACATACTAAGAAACACACTGAGCATCTTGGAAATGCACTGCTTTCAAGAATCGCTTACAATTGCTATTTAATATTTAAAGGAACAACTTCATGAAAAAACAGTATTTCATCAGAAAATGTCATACCTGCTACTGTTTCAAGCAACTCCCATGAATACTATAATAAACATTAAAAAGAGTATTTTTCTTTCTATTGTTTTCAATGTTTTAAACTTGTGCAATTGAGAGTTCAATATACTTAGTCGGTGTCACTATTTGTCCACGGTGCATACCTTCATAAGGCTTAAAAGAGATTCCTTACTAGGAATAGGAGCAAAAAAGTGGAAATTGAACAGAGAAGGCAGGAGAAAAAAAGCATGTGCAAAGAAAATGGCACACTTGAGCGGATTTAAGTTGTTGGCCTTGGGTGTGCCCCGAAACCTTTCTAAACATTAACAGTGAAGCTTAAAAAAAAAACCCAAACACCCCTACAGACTTTTTTGTTGCAGACCTCAAAAAATTAATAAACCATAAAGAGTGTAGTATCAGAAAAAAAAATTATTAACATTTTAGAAAATGAAGCGGGTATTGTGCCCTTACAGAACCTCAGTGGGAAAACACTAGAATGTATTATTTTTGTTAACACAGTATTTTTATGCTAATTTCTTATTATAGTTTAAGAGCAGAGACATAAGTGCCAAACAGTAAGACGAGCATAAAATAGGTCCAATATTTCTATTCCAGTCTTTGATTAATACAAACTCATTCAAATAATACAATTCCCAAAATGTTAGAGGTGCACCAATATATCAGTCGATATCGGATCAGCACTGGTAAAAGGAAAACTGACATTATCGGCAATCAGCTTTTTTTGGCCAGTGTAGCTGATAATGTCACCGATGAACACTGCGTGCATGGCAGCCACAGCATGGACGCAGCCAGGAATGCAGCCCGGAAACTTGGAGAGCAGTGTCCAGCTGGTATGTCTGTGGGGGGCAAGGGGAGGGAAGGGGCGTGGGGGAGGCAGGTCAAGGCAACCATGGTGAGGGAGGGAGTGGGGCTGTGGCAGGGACAACCGGGGAGGGGCATGGGACAAAGCCACAGGCATCTCGTCTAGGGAGGTGCCTCCCTACCTTTGCACGCACCCCCAAGGGAGGCGTGGTGGGCATGTGTACCCCAGATTTGTGCGTGCAGTGAGGGTGGGCTGCCTACTGCAGGCTCAGGGCCAGGGGCTGC